TCAGAGTGCTATAATAGCGCGCCTAACGCATGCAATAAACATGTGAACGACACACATTTGGAAAAAAACATACTTGTTTATAAACTATAGACGGGCGATTATATCGATAATTGAAATACAAATACAATTTCCAAACTGAACTATTTCGAATCCTTATGAGTCGTTTTATGGCCTGGTGAAAATCAATCAATTCGCTTGCTCTAGGTAGGTAGATAGTGAGACGCCATAGCTTCGCGTTATCATTAGAAACTGGTACTATCATAAACTAGTATTTAGGTTAATTGGTTCAAACGATTTCACTATCACAACTAGTTCTGCACTAGTCGCACTTTAGCAAATATTTCACTTCGGCTTGAAATAATTCTGAACCCTTACAAGGGTGACATGAGGATTTATGTAAGCAGCTTACGATTTTTAATTGCTTTCTACGCGAATGTTTCTGCTAGCTTGACAAACCTAGCTCATACACGAAGTGCAATTTGCAGTAATTCCGTTAGTGGTATAAAAACTGTAAATAACGACAAAGAACAAACTTTCGTAGATCGCATTCATTAACAGACCATTAACAGCTCTTTGCATAATGAACTGTTTCATTTTAATATTGTTAATAATTCTCGGATTCCGTCGACCTGAAATTCTACAAATTAAATAGGACTGAGGAGGTTGTTGGGCTTTTCCAAGAGCAAAAAATAATTTCTCCTCGACGTTTCTCAAGCACGAACGTTCTGCTTCTTCAGAGTTGTTTGCTTTTCAAACATTACACTGGACTGATCCGTTAAGGTTTTAAGCGTTAACACCTCTGAAGATCAAACCATTCGTGGCTCTTGTGAAATGTTTGGGAGGCATGCTTTTCCACGACTGCCTAAAAACTTGCCGGTTACAAGACTAAATCTTTTGATAAATTGAAGAACATTTTGTTGTACCATGCACCCAACATAAAATCAAACTTTAATCAGCTACATTAATACAATTCGATAAGTTATTGCAATTAAACAGCTAAATTAAAATGTAACTATGGATAGAGACTTTGCTATTAGCAAACATCATATTACTTTGGCTCAATTAAATCGGCGGTTTAAAATGATAATGCCAGCCAAACTAGTAATTTAATGATCACTGAAAGATAATTTATGAACCCAACTGATTATGGTTTCATACCAGAAATATTGTGTTATTCTTGGAATATTGCCAAATATATTCGGTTTTGTCGGCCTTTTTGATTTAGTGAAAAACACAACATCGGTCACACTTAGAAGAATATCACAGAAACGAATGCTGATAACCTTTAGCTTCTGAAAATTTTATGATTTGATTGAAATATTTTATACAGATAATTTTTCCCAATTAATTGAATGAGCATATGGAAAACAACAGAGATAATAATCTTTTGTATTTGATCAGGAGGAGATAAAATGCATATTTCTCAGCTGACTAAATTAGTAAATTAATTGTGTTTCGTTTTGTGTTACGATCTACAAGTTTTGATTATTGTGAACTCACCTCGTTGCTATATCTTGAGATACTTAAGTGCTGTAAGGTCAAGTTTTGGAAAACATTTTTTATTTAAACTGCAAAATAATACAATTGCATTTCCCATTGTTTTGTCACATACATTTGCTACTCATCAACAAAGGTCTGATAAATGACTCTTGATGTTAAATAAATCTTGTTTAGCACTGCGCTGTTTATGATCGATGAAATACATAAGTTAGATAAAATGTAAGTGTTTTTTGAGATGAAAATAAATGGGGAACTATCAGCTTTGCGGAATTAACTTGAGCAACCATAAGGAATGAGACAAAACTTCTACTGACGTACATAAAAAATGTTAATGATCTTAAACAAAAGGCGAGTAGGCATCAACGGCGACAAGTTCCTTTATTAGTTTCAAGGTGATGTTAGACAACTATAGACATGGCATACAGGAAAACAACACCAAAGTTCAAGTTCCATATTGCTTGGAATTAATTACGGGACAGGTTCTGGTGACCTCTCTATAGTTACGTCAATTCGTTAATGATTATGAGACAATATAAATTGGATGCTATGAATAAAAGCCATAAAAAATATAAATGTATCTCAAGCAATCTTGTGTATGTCAGCTTGAATATAAAGTATAAATTGATGTTGGTGCTTAAAAACTTTCCTCGATAGTTATCTGATGGCATAATTAAATAATGTTGGTTCTAACAAGTTTTACATTGTATCCTGTTCAGCAACAGGAAATTAAAATTGGTCAGTTAATTTAGGTGGCTCTATTATTTTAGGGTTATAAAAATTTCATAACGGCTCTAAAATTTCTTGATTTAAACCTCTGTCGATTTTTCGATGCGATCCGAAGCCACCAGGTATAAATTTCCTGATTCCTTTTAGTTAAAAATAAAATTAAAGCTTAACAGGGTATAGTTTAATCTCGTTTATTTTTTGCTTCATTAAAACATTTTTTGTACCATAATACTTTCTATTAGTAGAATAACATCCTAGTTTTCAACAATTTGCATTTGTTTCCGGAGATTCTGAATAACATGGAACTAATAAGTTTTCTTTGAGTTAAATACTTTTTAGATAACAATGACGTGATAAATTTGCTTAAATTCTCAAACTTCCATATAATGTAAAGACTAACGTCTATATCATAAATTAATTCAGCAAGTACCAATGTTCAAATCTTTATTAGGGCTGACATTTTTTGTTCTTATACCATTGGGACAATGGTGCTTTGAATCCTATCGAATGGAGCAACTATTAAACTTTTGTTCTACCAATTGACTTTTATCATTACGTACTAGCAGCCGGGAAATTATTGGCGTTTTACTAGTTTTAAACATTTCTGCTGTCAAAATATCAATTGAACCTGTCTAATTAGATATACCCGAATTTTATTTGATCACGTTTACTGTGATTACCTAAATATCACCCTCAGCCTCAAAAAGTGAACTGATCGGATTAATTTTGCATATTTTTACATATTTCAGGAAAGGAAAGATGAAAGACGCGAACTGTAGCTCTAATTTATTCACGTTTTTTTTTAGTTTTTTAATCAAACTATATGTAAAATACAAAATCTGTAGACTGTAGCAAAGGATAACAGTGAGTAAACACTTTATGACGCATTTCATAAACAGCTAAGCATCTTTTCGGTTTAAGACGCAGTGTTCTGTTTTGCTTCAATATGTTTTGAGATGTTTCAATCTGGAGTTTAAAAAGATTTGACTGAAGTAGAAGAAAATACGAGAGCGCCAAATGTCCCCCTTAATTCAAATGCTGCAAGCTGCAAACTTGGAAGTCAGCAATGGCTGAAGATCTATGTAGTTCTGAATATTTTTTATTCTCCGATTTTGCTACGTAATCTGTTTATTTGAGATCGAGTTCGTTGTGTTCATAGTGTCATTGAGTAATATAACACAACCACGATATCATGTATGCACGATCAACAAAGAGCCCCATATTCATATTACTTAAATGAGTTACAATGGCGCAAATTCATCAATGAATGGAAATAGAATTACGTTCTGGATTTAGAGTTGCTTAAGGGTTGAAATATTTTCTAACTGGAGAAAAGCAGTTAAGGAATGTATGAATTGGTAATAAGCTTCATCAGTTCTCCTTTACTCTAGCTGTCAATACACTGTATAATAAAAGCAGCCGATGTGCCGAAGAAAAGCTATTAGTGTTCGCCTGCAAATAATTTTATTTGCGAAAAGGGGTAGAACAGCAACTAGGTGGAGTGACGAGGATTATTTGAAATAAAGTTAGCTTTTGCTGAAAACTAATCAAAACTTTCTCTCTTCTTGTGCCTACGAATATAATTACTGAAAAGTGCCGATTAGTAAAAGTCCTTAAAATGGCCTGCTAGAAAAAGCAATATTGGAGAAAATTTGCACCGTACACGAAAAAATGAAGATAAAGGTTAAGCTGATAAGAACTTATCCTGTCAAGCTGTCATCCTAAATCAAGTCGTTATATCTAAGAGAAAATGGATTTGATTTGCACAATCATTCGGGTTTAAATTATAGAATTGCCAAAAATCTTAATGAGCTTTATAAAGTATGAAGCTACGTTATACAAACTAGTAACACGTTCATATTGCGACGCTAATTGTTTGCAGACAGGGTACATGGCAAAATACCATTTCGCACAAAATTAATTGGATTCTAGGTGCTATTACCCAAGCAGACATTTCTTTGGACAGTGCAAACAATAGTGAAATAGGTCAAGAATATTAGGTTTCAAGACTAAGTTAATTTCCTTTCAATTTATTTTCATTGACTTTGTCATCGCTTCCTCTCTATTAAATAAGAGTAAGTATTGTCACGCCCAATCATCTAAACATTTGCCCCAGGCGTTCAAAGATAAATTTCACTCGTAATTTTTCTTAGACATAACCGACATTTTCACAATTTTATTCAAAATACCCAAAAAACCTGGAATGGAAATTATCCAAACTGATTTATTTTTGATCTAGAGAATGCATAATTACGTAATCACATAATCTGTTTTATATGCATGAAGGCCGTTTAGCTAAAGCGTTAACAATAACATTTAAATCTAGCCGATGCCTGTAACAGAGACTATATTTCAACATTCGACATTCGAATCACAGAATATCGAGTTCATTTTCTATTTGCAGTTGGTCCAATTGGTATGCAATTTGATGTCTGCTCATGCGATAGAATTAATAGAATAGGAATAGACAATTAATACCTTACTGCTTCTCAAAAAACTGGTTTGAATCAAATACATCTAATGGTGACCTGATCTGAAATAAAAATAACCAAAACTGACAACACTTGTTAAATTTCGAAATTTTATTAAATTTGGAAATAGTTCTCATATATGTATTATATATAAATGGTATGCTTCAAAGTCCGTCAATTGTGCAAAAGCAAATTTCATATGCTCGACTTCGCTGTGCTAGAGATCTAGATATGCATGTGGAGTTGGCGTCCTCCTATCATCTAAAAGCATTCCAGAAGCCCTTAAATGCTAAGAGAACTCACCATTAGCGAGTCCAAACCATCAAGCAAACATTCGTAAGGAACGTTAATCCAGACCAGAAACCAACAAACAAAAATCCAAAATCACCATAAACAAGAAAATCATTTGTCACTAGAAATTATCGGGCATGTTCATATTTTGTCTTAAGTTTTACGTCGAATACGGTCACAATCAGCCGTGAATTAATCGAGTTCTCGAGCTTCTGCAACTTAACGTGCACTAAGCAATTGCTCGTATCACACTGAACGGAACGAAATACCGAGGAGGCGAGTGAAACTTCCAATGTTTCCATACCAAACACCTCTCTCTCGAGTCGCGGCCTGCGTTGAAAACAGTTGAATGCGTGCATGGTGGCGCCATCGAAATGAGGCGCGACGGAAACTTAAAGTAGGCCATGTCGAAGTTTAAGAGATGTTCCAAGTGTTTAAAAGCATCCAAAAGTGATGTAAAAGTGAATGATTAGTGTAATTCAAATGGTCTTTAAATTATTTTAAGCTACCCGTTCAAAAATACATGATTAAGAAAAGTGACAAATAGAGTGGTAGTCTGTTCTAGATGAATTATAACCCACAAGTCTCTGCAAGACAATATTAATTGCACTTCATGACATAGTGGAAAGTTGGCGGCCTCCCAAGGGTACGATTTGTTGTCAAAATAATGATATTACACCAAACTTTACAGAAATTGATTAGTTAGAACTTATTAAAAATAACAAATACAGGGTGATTCAAAATTGGCGTCATTCCTCTGGAGGTGTTGTCTGGGGATCTTTTAGGGGTACAGAAAATATAGTAAAAAAACTAAAATACATATTTCAAAAAAACTAGATCATAAAGATGGCAATGATGTTTTTCAAAAGAAACTGCCCAATTAACATTACGTAAATATCTGATGCTCCTTAATTATTACAAACTGTACAAACCATGGGTAAGACAAAGCAAAGAAAGTAAAACTGACTTGTAGTGACGTTGTCACTTTGCCGTCAGTGTTGCCAACCTTTCTGTGGCAAACGAGTGATATGCCTAAATCCGTCATAGCTGTCATCCGAAGCCTCCTGTTAACGGTTATGACCAATGACCAATGACCAATATCGATCAAATAAAATACAATTAAGTTGTTAAATTATAAGAGGTGTTCGATGTTTTGCCCGTTAAATTACAAATGTGTATGTGTCCCAATCACCTTATCGTCGGCTTTTGGCAGCCGTTTGGGCTCACATTTTGAGCAGCTTCTCATATTCGGTTAATTAACTCAATCAAATTGTTCAATTTCTACCGATGATCCGAAGATCCGAAATTTAATGTGCCTGTGTATCTTGCAATGACAGGAATAGTTTTGTTTTGTAAAGGTGGTTAAAAATATTCTGGAAATGTTTTCGGTGACTGAGCTATGTTATTATTTTGCCTGACCAAATTTACAGTTCGGGAATTAGCACATGGACGACTTATTTAACATCAGTTTCCGAATTGTTCCAAATAAATTCTATCTTGTTCCAGCAAATGCAGAATGTTCTGATGGCGGTTTATCGAAAAATCATAATTTTAAGTTATACTGACTGAAGAACTGATACTGGAAACTTTGTCAAGTTTTTGAGGGACTTTGCTGTTTTGAACTACCCTCACAATGTCATTTATGTACAATATGACCAAGGTAGAACCCAAGGCTGTTCCCTGCGATAGGTACACTATACAACCTGTTTTCCTTCCTCCACCTTCTTTGGCGAGAGGATAATTTTCTACTATACTTGGTCGCTTGTCGACTTACATACAGGGTTGTTCACAGTGACTAGTGTTCTGGACTTACATTTTCGTGATTCACGTAACAAGCATGGTCGACGTTTTTTCGCTGATGCGGTGCAGAAAGATGTTTAGGTCTTATGCAAGTTTTGATATACTTGTTATGTAACCTGTCGCAAAAACACCAATTTTAAATATTTGGCTACAAAGATAAATGACCTGTTCATCTCTAGATAGATTTCGACGCTCAATATGTGGCTTTATTATTTCGAAAGAAACGTAACAATACGTTTACGTATTTTAGTAAGTTAACGCTTACATACTGTTTAGAAAACAATGCTCCTGATTGAATCAGCCATTTCAAACAATGCCCGGGATTTTTTTGTAAAACAGTCTGTACTTTGAGTACAAAACTCTCACCCCTTCTTTATTCAGAAGTGACGATAGTGATTTCTGAATGGAGTTTCTGAATTTCTTCATGAAGTGTGACGATATTATTCCTATTATTGCTGTTGTAACAACTGAAACACAAGTAGCGTTTAGATTGGACAACTAAGGAACCATTTCGGACAACTAACGGAAGACATGAGAATATTTGTTAATTTCCTTTTATTTTCGCATTCTGTTCTTTAAGTCCTCAATAGAATCTGACATGTCGTGTTTGTCGAGTTGATTAGAGAGATTGGAGAGGCAATAAATGAAGTCGAGGAAATATATTTCAAAAACATTAAAAAGAATAGTTATAAGAATAATCTGGTTTTGAAAACAATCACATAAACATACCTACTGAAAGCAAAGAAAGATAAAAACAGTTGATAGAGAAGAAGTTAATAAACTTGAATAGTCCAAAAAGTGTGGAATTATCACTGATAAATTATTTACATCAAATACTGTCAAAAGCATTTCTAATAAAAAAAACTGATAGTACATTTCGGTAGTATGTATATATACTATACGAAAGCAGAACTATCACCAGTGGCAAGGCATCGGAATTGCTATTTCCAAATTTATTTTTGGAGAAATAAGACCGTGTGATCTCATCCGTGTTTCTGACTTTTGCAGTTCTTTTAACAGTCCTTGAAACATTTGGCAAGGTAATCTCATAAATTTCCAGAGAGAATCAGGATCTTGTATCTGCTATCTCCTTTAAGTAATTCTGACCATTCCAAAATACTTCTGCGACCCAGTATCTACCGAACCAATATCTAACTCGAACTCGTTTTTGTATTTTCTTGTATTGTGCCATGACTATTAATAATGGGCAATTTCACTTACACTTGCATTCATTTCCTTATCAGCTATTTACCAAATGAACCGGAAAATGTGTAGATACAAAGCAACCAGCAACTTGAGTGGCTGCAAAGATTATTCGCTAGTGAACTTGCCAAGTGTAACTGTAGCTTTAGACTTTCATTTTCAGTTTTGCGAACTGATAAATTAGTATTTTGTCAGTTTGTAGCCAATAGTGGTTCTATAGCATGAGCTTTAAAAGCAGCCTTGTTATCATATAGAAGTTCTGAACTATCGCCGATAATGCAAGCGAATTAGTTACTGTGTGCTAAAATATAAACATATTTTAAAAAAATCATAAACACGATAAGCTTACGGAGATTGACACGGATTTGCTGAGGAAATGGTACCCTGTTTTGTAATAATAACAACTGATGTAATAAATAGTGTGCATTTCACAATTCTCTAAAGATAGTTTAGGTTTGTGTCCAGTGCTGATATGCCCAGCATATTTTTTGCGCTTCAGGAGACGTTCATTTCGTAACTTATTTTTATGAAAACTGCATTAATTAAAATTCTATGTACAAAAATTGTTCAAAATATTTTACTTATGAATGGAGTTATATTTGCTTATTTAAAATTGCTCTTTGCTTTGCGTCTGAGCTCTAATGGCTGTTACCTCGGGAAGAATGGGGAAATGTGTATCTACCAATGTAAATACAAGAGGTAGGGATAATTTATTGCAAGCAGTTCACAAAGGTGCAATATTTTAGGAGACTCCCTTGATAAATAGCATACAAATTTATTATTATTACAGTTTACAGCTATAGTTTGGGGCCTCATGTTAAGTACGCTGCGCGTGAGGAATGGTTTAATTTAAAATTTAGAGTTCCAAAATCTAATTATCCAATAATAATTTAATTAGTGTGAAATTTAGCCTGAGGTTCGGCTTTATCAAACAATACAAGTATTTGACCTAGTTAAGTATTAAAACAAGAAATAAGATAAGAATTATTGTTAGTTCATTTATCTTTCTGTTTTGTGTATTAAATTGAAAATCATTTTTCAACATTAAATTGTTTAATCGGACTTTTTCAAAACAATGTTCAAATACTCTACAATTTTTTTTACAAAATTGTGTATTTTTTAATAATTTTTATAATTTTACGCTGTAACTATATTTTGATTTCAATTATTGATTTGGAACTCACCTTCCGCCTATGAAACATTTTGTAAAATAAATTTGTCAAAGTTTGAAAAATAACTGTTAGAATGAACTTTTTTCTACAAAATAATTAAAAAGTCGCCGAGGATATATAGCAACATTATTTTAGCGATCTAAACACAGAAAAAATAAATACAATTTTTTTCAGAATATTTTTAAAGTAATTGATCATAAATTAGTAAATGGATGGTAATGTAGAAATAAAAATTAGTGCAGACTTATTACAAAATCAACAATTATTCATTTGAGTCAAATAGTATTTTAAAGGACTTGCAGGTGTTTGAGTCTGAAGAAGGCTTGCAATAGTTTGCAACTTAACCAACTTTAGGGTCATCCCGATTATGGGTCTTTAGCCGGTAATTCAACAATAATAATTTCCAAACTATGTGGAAGTCAAATCTTGTATTTTGTGCAAGTATCCGCGTGAAATAATAAATAGTTTACAAACCAAATCGACGCGAATTCCCAAAACAACATAATTTAGGTTCTTTTCTTTCGTATTCGGAGTAAATCAAAGGTAGAAGTTAGATATTCAATATTCAAAAATAAAGTGAAAATAGTGTTAAAGTTAGTAGTAATACAACGAGTCTGCTTTGCGTACTTTTGTATTTGATTTTAACGTAAATCTCATAATCGTACATAATAAGTTTCAGAGAAATATTTTCATGAATTGATAAACTCAATTTTGCTTCTGTTGAGTCTGTCGACAAACGACAAAACGACCGACTCGCATAAAATTATTTGTGTTTTGAATGCAGAAAATAATTGGCTAATAGAGGCAATTTATTTGTACGCTGGTTTTGTTATTAATTTATTATTTTTGGAACCAATTTTGCTTGTAAAACTTCACGTTATGCGTGCTTATTAGTTAACCGAATGCACTAAACGCAGTATCAGGATTATGTGTGAACATTGAGTAGTGTTATTATACTTCACTACCTGAAATTTTATAATACAGAGCATGACCATTGCACACTTGGTAACACTTTGCTTTGAGGTAATTGTTATACTGTTTTTGCCATTACCAATATTTCTTAATTACATTTTTTAAATCATATATGTTTCATCAATTACTTTCATAATTGAAATTTCTC